GAGCAATTATTCTCGCACTAGACCTTTGTAACTTTACACTGCATCACCCATGGAGATTTTTAAGTACCACAGTTTCGCACCATTCCACGAACATGTACAATTTTAAAGGGAGACATGCTGGGTATCTATTTACTGGCCGTAACATCCTCTTTCATATTTTACAAAAAAAAAAATGGGGTGTATATTTTTTTTTAAATCAAAGTGTATTTTTTTCCAAAAAATATATATTCATTTTTAAAAACTGCGCATTTCAGTTTTTGGCCAAGTGCATTTTGAATTTTCGGTTTTGGCACCAGAATTTTCTTTTAGCAATTTACACAAAGCACGCAGAAAAAAAAAAATCATCCTCCAAATCCTCGGCAGACCATTCCCCTTGCACTAATGGTCCTCCAATCCGCTGCATGACACGGTCAGAAAGACTCTGACAAATGCCAATAGCTGCCACAGCTGGCTGAGCAGCAGAACCTGCCAGGGAGAAGGAGGCCTTAAGGAGAGACTCCAGCTTCTTATCTGCTGGGTCCTTGAAAACCTATATAATATCCGTAGGATATGTTAAAGATTTATTCAGGGATGAAACAGCTGCATCCACTACAGGCAAACCCCATTTCTTAACAAACATTTGTTCCATGGGGTACAAGAAAGAAAACCTCTTTGGTGGAACAAATGCCCTGTCTGGGTGTTCCCAGTCGGCACACATAGTATGCACCAGAAAGGCCTAAGTACGATGTGAAGGCTTCAAAGAGCCCAGGGAAGAATTGTAACCTCACAGGTTTCGATGGGAGGTAGCCTGAATCCAGACCGTACCATATCAGTGAAGTCTTGAACTAAAAATCTCTGAGACTGCTTCTCTTTAGGCTGTGACTCCTCAGACAGAAATTCTACTGCCTGACCTTCCTCCAGCTCGTACTCATCCTCAGGCTCCACCCATTCGTGCTCCAGGATTGGTGGTTCAAGTGACGGGAATCTATCTATTCTTAGTCCCCTGAGAAACTGATGCAATCATCCCAGCGATCTTATCTTCTAAACCCGCTAAGGCTGAAGCAAGATCATCCGTGGTTACATATGCTGAGGCAGAAGCCCCCGTAGTAGCCACAATGCCAGACAGACGCAGCTGCTCAGACTGCCCAATCGCTTCTGGCCTGTCAGGAGAGGATATCACAGCGGACCTTTGGCTAGGTTCAGGACCTGGTGGTGGTACATTGGTGCCCTTTCCTGTTGCACCTCCCCCACTCTGTTTTCTGGAAGACATTACTTCTAAAACCTGTGCACCTCCTGTGCAGTAATAAACACCAATCTCAAGATACAGCTATGCAAGTAGTGTACTGAAGTAAAAACACTCAATGCAAATGCTGGTCCACGCTTCCCCCTCAGAGGGGTACTCATGTGGCCCTACAGAATAGCCGGCTCTGTGTCCCAGCCACAGGAGATTCCCCAATAGCAGCCGTCCCACGTGTTCTGGCCTCCAGATAAACAAATATGGCCGACTTTCATTTCCAGTCGGTACTGCGCATGCGCCGGCTTTACTCTCTTTAGTGGCTGAAAAGAGAAGAGCAAGTACATCTCGGGAACAATTGTGAGCACTACCCCTGGTGGAAACTCAGTCACAACACCTCATTTTCCCTCCAATTTAAATCCCTCCATCACAGCGGGCATTATCATACCGACCTTCAAGGACTCAGTCCCCATGCTGAGGGGCCACTGCCTTGGACCCATATAGCACCCCGCTGGAAGCGCCTTGGTCAGATTTAAACCAGCACAGGGTTCCATTTGCGCTGGGTCCAGCGCTATAAGGCTAGATTACAGGCAAAACCTCAAGGATTCTTCTCCTTATCCAGTGAGGCTTGGGTACCATCACCACTTTCTGAATGGATCTGATTAAAGTCCCTGATTCTCTAATGGAACAGTTCTGGACTTTCAGGTATGCTCTAAGAGCACAGCAACACTTTCAGTGACCATCCACCTTACAAACACGGGCAAAAAAACTGAAGTACTTCCTGTATAGGAGGGGTTATATAGGGGATGACCTCCTCTCCGATAGGTCGGTCAGTGTCCATTCACCTATCGGTGGCCTATAACCCACATAGTCATGAATAGCCTGCTCTGTGTCCCGTAATGTACGATAAGGAAAGAACCTTTTCTACTTCATTCAGGAAAGTGCACCAACCCCGCAGGATATAATAGAAGTCTATGGCTAACCACAGAAAACCTGTAGGAAAGCTGCAGGTACACTGAACTGCACCCACGGTCAGTGTGAAAACAGCCCTATACTATTATGCCCAGTGTATTGCTTCACACTGACCTGAAGATCTCTTCTTGCCTGCTGCTGGCACCACGCTGGAGACCACTAGCCGGAATAAGAGGTGGAGTGAGGTTGATATCACTCTGCATGGGACAGGAGCCAGCACTACAGAGGCGGCATAGGCTTATGCGGCTCTTGCTCCCTACTACAGCTCCAACTTTACAAGCAGTTCCTCTGCATTGCACTCTGTTTGATACTTTGGGATGGAGGGTCCCCCAATAGAGATTAATGAATCATAAAGATCATATTCAGCCAATCACAGAGCAACAACTCAATGCATTTAGGCATCTAGACATGGCGAAGATGACTTGCTGAAGTTCTAACCGAGCATCAAAATGGGGAAGAAAGGGGATGTAAGTGACTTTGAACGTGGCATGATTGTCGGTGCCAAACAGGCTTGTCTGAGTATTTCAAAAACTGCTGATCTACTGGGATTTTCACACACAACCATCTCTAGAGTTTACAGAGAATGGTCCCAAAAAGAGAAAATATCCAGTGAGAGGCAGCTGTGTGGCTGAAAATGCCTTGTTGATGTCAGGGGAGAATGGGCAGACTGGTTTGAGATGATAGAAAGGCAACAGATACTAACATTTATAAGTAAAGTTGATCCAGGGAATATCCAACTGCCTCTTGGGGGATCAGGAAATAATTTTTTCCCCTTCAGGAGCATATTGGATCATGCTTTGCTGGTTATTTTGCCTTCCTTTGGATCAACTGTGGGTATCAGATTATAACTTTTATTTATTTATTTTTTTTTTTTTTTTAATGGTTGAACTAGATGAACTTTTGTCTTTTTTCAGACTAACTATGTAACAGGAACTCAAATAACCACTTGTTACAACCAAGGTATGCAGAATACCATGTCTGAATTCACAACACATCGAACGTTGAAGCAGATGGGCTACTGCAGCAGAAGACCACACCGGGTCCACTCCTGTCAGCTAAAAACAGGAAACAGAGGCTACAATTTGCACAGGCTCACCAAAATTGGAAACCAGAAGATTGGAAAAATATTGCCTGGTCTGACGAGTCTAGATTTCAGCTGCGACATTCCTATGCTAGGATTAAAATTTGCCGCAGCTTGGATCCATCCTGCCTTGTATCAATGGTTCAGGCTGGTGGTGGTGTAATGGTGTGGGGGATATTTTCTTGGCACATTTGGGCCCCTTAGTACCTACCAACCAAATCTGAGTATTGTTGCTGACCATGTCCATCCCTTTATGACTACAGTATACCCATCTTCTGACAGCTACTTCCAGCAGAATAATGCTCCATGTCACAAAGCTCAAATCATCTCAAACTGGTTTCTTGAACATGACAAGAAGTTCTCTGTACTCCAATGACCTCCACAGTCACCAGATCTCAACCCAATAGAGCACATTTGGCATGTGGTGGAATTGGAGATTCACATCATGTATGTGCAGCCAACAAAATCTGCAGCAACTACTCAACATGGACCAAAAGAGTTAAGGGAAAAATGAATGGAGCAATTTGCAGAGATATCCTTAATGAAAACCTGTTCCACAGCACTCAGGACCTCAGACTGATCCAAAGGTTGTCCTTGCAACATGACAACAATTCTGAGCACACAGCCAAGACAACACAGGAGTGGCTTAAGGACGACTCTGTGAATGTCCTAGACCGGCCCAGCCAGAGCCCTGACTTGAACCTTAATGAACATCTATGGAGAGAACTGAAAATGGTTTCCCACTGATGGTCCCCATCCAACCTGATTGAGCTCGGGAAGATTTGCAAAGACAAATGGCAGAAAATCCCCAAATACAGGTGTGTAAAGCTTGTTGTGTCATACCCAAGAAGACTCAAAGCTGTAATTGCTGCCAAAGGTGCTTCAAAAAAGTACTGAGTAAAGGATCTGAATACTTGAGTACATATAATATTTCAGTTTTTTTCCTCTTAACTGGTTCCGCACCACCCTATAGCGGAAACACGTGTGTGTTTTTGCAGTTCCGACTAGGGGGCGCGCGTGAGCCCTTCCCCCGCCGTCAATCACCAGGTCCCGGCCGGTGATTACTCACCAGCACCCGGTGATCTCCGAGCATCTCCGACAGGGGAGAGACCTGTAAGTAAACAATACAGATCTCTCCCCTGTCAGCTACTGCACACGTTTTTTTTTCAGGCACAAAGACAGGTACCCAAATATGCAGCCCCATGGAAAAAAAGCCCAGTTCTGTGAGGCCACATATTTGTGTTACGTCGGCGTCAAGGGGTTAAAGAGACACTGTCACCTGCCCATTCAGGGAAAAGTGAAAGTGCCTCCTGATAGGACACCTCTCTAGAAAAGTATACTGGCCAATCCATGCTCCCTCACCACCTCCCTCCTGCAGGCGTCTACCCCGGGTGGATGGCGTCACTGCTGCACTCATGTGACATTGTGCAAGCCTGAAGATTGGTAACTCAGGCCAAAAGACTGTCATATGAATGAGGTCCTATGCTCCCCTATACCTGGAATCCCCACTCTCCCCTCATTGCTCTCAATGGGCAAAGTGACACTGTCTCTTGTTACTCTGGTCAGTATGTTCCAAACTTTACACTGTATTATTCTCTGTTGTATCACTAAAGGATGAACAATCCTGTGTCATACAACTGATGCAATTTGTTTGTGTCGGTTTTTCAATTCCCCTGTGAGGTTGTTTAAAAGAAAAAAAAAAAAAAAGACAGATTGTACCTGCTGAAGATTTACCTGTGGCACCAAGTTCTGTTGGTCTGCTGGTTTCCCTCTGATCATCAGAACTATAAAGTCTGATTTGTGCTTGTACTGGCAGTCGACCACATGGCATTAGGCATAGGACTCCTCTGCTCTTTAGAGAGCTCTGCCAGCCTGCAACAAGAATCAAAAGCATGGGTATCAAGACTTAGGCATTCTGCAGTACTGATTTGTAACGTTACATATTGGAAGTATGATTATATGAACAAGGCAGCCTCACATACAGGCAGTTCTTATAAAATGCTTCTAAAACAGAACTTCACTTGTCAAAAAATAAATAAAAATGTAGAATTCAGTCATGTAGAAATAAACTGGTTGTCATGTGAAATCAATATTGGTACTTCCTCAAAGAACAGCATTTCCTGAGCAATGAAATGTCATGCATGACCTATTCTGAGCACTCAGGAAAACCATTGTACAATAGCCATAATGAATTTTCAGGCTCTGCTCCTTATCCATTTCACATAACGCAAGTCTGAACCAGCATTTTCCTGCTCAAAGCAGTAAGACTGGATCCCAGCTGCTGGGAAAAGACACAAGGAACTGCCTGTGTATAGTGGAGTTTGTCATTGGGAAATGTATGTACCCTAGGAGGTACTTCAGACAGGCTGAGTACATCTGTTATTAAAATACAATTTTAGTAACCATTTTAACACGTACCAAACAATAAATCACATTTAGAACAAACTGCAGTAAACAGAAGGGATCATATAAAAAATATTAAAATACAATTATGATGGTAAAGGCAATAAACAAACAAATCAATAAATATTTTAAAGAAGGTGACCCATATGAGAAAACCATAGTTAAAGTTCAGCTCCACCTGGAAGCCGTGGTTAATGGCCAACTCCAGTTGTGAGTGGAGGAGATCTTGTCATTCATCTACTTCTCCCCCATTCACAAATCATGTTGCATTCTGTAAAAACAAGGACTTTTCAGAAGAGAAAAGGGGACAAAAAGAGGTAGGTGGCTGTTTGGACTTCTTCGATGTACTGCACTGTTAGAGCCACAGAAATAACTAGGGATGCACCTATAAATCGGCGGCTGAAAATAGTGTTATCAGTGTTTTGCTGATAGGGAAAAGGGGCTGATAATGACTGCAAATAAATGCATGATTTTGCCACAGAGTACGTTTTTCATAGGTCAAGTGACTAAAAAAAAAAAAAAAAAAAAAACACAACATCAAAAATGCAACTTGTGCATTTGCATGTGTTTTTACTGCATTTTCAATGCATTTCAGACCTGGTTCACACCAATGCAGCCTGTGTTTTTGCATGTGCGTTTTTTTTTTTAGCCAACTTGTTGCTGTGCAGATTAAATGAGTTAAAACCGAACTACATGCATTATCTGCAGCGTGTCTATTGAACCAAAAATGCAGCATTTTACATTGCAAAATAGCATAGATGTGAATGTATCTCATATGAAACCATGTTAAATGGACTGTAGTGCGCTTCTGCAAAAAGCTCAAAAAAATGCATAGGTGTGAACCAGGCCTCAATGGGGAGGTGCCTTTTTTTAACTGACCAAATACCAAAAATGCGGAAAGCAGGATTTTTAACTCCAGAAGGGAAACGCAATGGACCAGTGTAAAGGCATCCATTGAATTTAAAGGGAAGCATTTTTCTTGAGCTTTTTTTTTTTTTTTTTTTTTTTTTTTAAAAACGCAAAATTGCTTCAAAAACCACTCAGTGTGAAAGCAGCCTTCTGGCTGAAAAAAAAAATTAATATTAATTTAAATTCATGATATTAATTAAAAAGTCAAACAGAATAAAATTATATATATATATATATATATATATTTATTTATTTATTGACTTTTTAATTAATATCATGAATTTAAATTAATATATATATATTTTTTTTTTTTCTGTGTAGTCCACAAATTTTCATTTCGGTGCACCACTAGAAATAACCACAAAGGGCTAAGAAGGGGACCTGTTATCACTGCATTTCTACACTAGGCAGCAGACAGCATTACTTGGAATACATTTCAGACCTCACCGCATTGGAAGTTGAGACAAACTTACAGAATATCTGTTGGCTTTCTAAAGCTTCAGAGAGAAGGAATGCCTTATACCATGACAGGTCCACAGCAATATATTCAGCTTAACACAGCTCACTGTGAGTGACAGCATCATAAGCATTAACTGAGTGCACAATGGTAATTCTAGAAAAGCCAGCACTCTGCATGGACGTCATGTGACTGTACTATAGGTTGGACAAGGGACCAGAAAGCTCTAAGCCCCACTGACATTTACAGAAATTGCCAGCCTCGGAAGAATAATCTGTGCATACCATGCAATATCAGATCAGAAGAAAGTGATCATTGGAATTTATAAACGTCAGTGACAGTACTAGATATTACATGCCAGTTCTAGCAGGTAATAGCCAATATGTAGGCCCAGCATTAAACAAAAAAAAAACTCCCCAAATCCTCTTTACATCTACACTGGTAATATAACAACACAACTTCAAAAAAAAAAAAAAAGCAGAAAAAGGCCCTGTGTGGGGAGGTCTGTGCCTCGAAGGCCTAGTTCACAATGGCTTTGAAAGCAGGTATTTGAGGGTAATTTAATGGTGATCAAACTCATTATGTTAATGAGAATATGCATAGCACACAGTGCTGTTCACATTATCAAAACATGAAGCATTAATGTCGTGTTGCTTAAAAATTGAAGCCTCATGACGAGTTTGAAGGAGCTGAAGCCTATGGTAACACGCAGTAAACACGCTGGTATGTGTTTGCGGTGCGTTTGCAGCGTGGTTGCGGTGTAGTATGTTATTATCATTACAGTCTAACTCCTCAAACGTCTATTGTACAATGATGGCCAAGCGGGAACCCTATTATCCTGGGAGGACGTCATATGATGTCCTCCTAGGATCGTGCCACGGGTCGTGCTCCGGTGCGATCTATCACCGCGATCTATGAGACACAGCCAATGACAGATCACTACACCAACTCACTGCCAGTGTCATGTGATCACTGTGACCAATCACAGCAGATCACATGACAGTTGTAAACAATGAATGACTTCCTTACATGTCATGCACTGCTTAAAACTGTGCTGCGAGCTGTGATTGGCCACAGTGATCACATGTACAGACTGGGCCAATCACAGCCCACCTGTAACATGTGATCAGCTATGACCAATCATTGTATTGCTCTGGTCTCAGAAGTAAAAAAAATAAAAATTTAATGTGTGTGTTTTTTTGTTTTTTTATTAAACATACCGTCGCCAGTCAGTGTCCCTGATCACCACCATGCTAGTTAAGTGATGACTCTGTACTGCAATGTAACAAAATAATGACAACTTCTAAAAGAAATTAGAAGATGTACATGATTTGCATTTCCAGGTACGGGGCGCATGTGCCTACCCACTTCGCCGTTGGAGGCTAGGGATGTCAATCTCCGGGTCCCGGGTGGTGATTCCCTACCGGCACCCAGCAAACGTCAGGGAAAGCTGACAGGGAAGAGACCTGTGAGTAAACAACACTGGTCTCTCTCCTGTCAGCATGGACATGCTGTGTTGTATTTCTCTGCACAACAGAGAGGACAAAACTGCATGTCTCCAAAGTAAAACGCACACAGTTAACCCTTTGATCACCCCAGATGTTAATCCCTTCCTACCCAGTGTCATTAGGACAGTGTCAGTGCTTTTTATTAGCACTGATGACTGTATTAGCATCACTGGGGATGTCAGTGGCAGTCAGATCCTCCCAGTGTCAGAATGCCCGCCGCAGTCCCACTGTAAGTCACTGATCACCGCCATTACTAGTATAAAACAAAATTAAAATTCCAGTGTTTATATACCGCCATTTGTAAACGCTATGACTTTCACGTAAACATGTAGCAGAATACATGTTGGCCTAAAAAAGACATGTAGCAGAATACATGTTGGCCTAAATTTATGACAAAATTAGATTTTTAAAATTTTTCATTGCATGTTTTATAGCAAAAAGTCAAAAATATTGGGTTTTTTTTGTTCAAAATTGTCAGGGTTTTTTGTTTATAGCGCAAAAAATAAAAACAATGCAGAGATTATCAAATACCACGGAAAGAAAGCTCTATTGAGGGGAAAAAAATAACATTTCATTTATGTATAGCGTTGCATGACCACACAACTGTCAGATAAAGTAACACATATCTCAAAAAATGGCCTGGTCAGGAAGGGGGGTAAATCTTCTGGAGGGCAAGTGGTTAAGAGTCAGCATGTGGAGTCAAGTGTGAACAAGCCCTAACAGTAACATACAGAATCATTACACAAATAACAGAAGCTGGGTTGCCATCCTCCTCCTCAGTATCAGAGGTCTCGGAGGTCAAGTAGAGAAATGTGACAACTGCGCCACTCCCAATGTTCCTAAAACAGGGCAGTCCCGGATAACAAATTATTCCGGTTGTAGCAATTAGAAGATATTATTGTCATCATCATTACAGGATAACATCATCATCATAACAAGTTTGCTCAGGGCTTTACAGAAAAAAGGGAGACAGAACCGTTCTAATACAATTCAATACAAGGTGGTTAGGAGAGCTCTGCTCCTCAGAGCTTACAATCTAATAGGGAGGGACAGGTGATACAAAAGGTAATACCTGAGGGGTGATTTGATGGGGAAAGCATTAGCACAAATGTTAGGTGGAGGAGGGATAGGCTTCCCTGAAGAGATGAGTTTCTAGGGATCACAATTTAACCAAAGCTGTAACGTTCTATTTAAGACCTAAATTGCTGTTATTAGAAATGGTAGAAAACTTACTTAGGGCTCTTCTAAAGATGCTTTTATCTCTGAAGAGCAATCCATGCTCAAATTGCTCTTCAGAAAGCATTTGACAGGCAGTGAAGAGGTGGTGCATCGCCTGCTTTAACCCCTTCATTGCCGAAGTTTGAAAGAGCTTGCAGAGCAGCCCCATTCACTTTAAAGCGGTAGTTAACTCCACTATATCATTTTCTTTTTAGGGGCCCCCAGGAGGTTTATGCCATGGGCTAGTATAATAGTGCATTATGGCGGACGTACCTGTCAAACGGTGTCCTCCAGGGCTGCGATGGGATGGATTCGGCGGGCCCCTGAGCAGCGATG